CATTTTCATTTGATATCACCTGGTCTAGTGTTTCTGAATGTCCATTATGAGCCGCTTGCAGATCAGAACTGTTATGTCTTTTATTATGTGCGCAGCTCTCTGGAATACTTGATTCTGATTAGACAACCTCCCCATCCTGCTCCGCTCCACGTTGGGGTCTGATCTCCCCGTCGGGTTTATTTTGCAGTAATGACCGTCTGATTGTACGTTATCCCTTACATAATTAACACAGTTCATGAGATGAACTGCTTATGATACTGGACATAAAACAGCGCTGGGTGTCTAAAGTCTAAATTAGCATTCCTTAGGGCGGATTAGAGTACATTGTAAACTCGTTTTAATCTGGTCATTAAAACGCTGGTATGTTGTGTAAGCATTTCCTGAAAAAATGATTTTGTGGAGAGATTTCTATGTAACAGTTCGCAGAAGACACTTTTAGAGAGATCCCAGCAGACCTTGAGTTTGAATTGCCGAAGACTCTAATAAATGGACTTTCGGTGTCAAATTGAATAATGTAGAAATTACTGGAGCTGGATCTTCATCTGTATGTGTGTCATTGATTACTGATGCAGAGTTAATGCTGCTTTAATTCACTGTTAATGAGCTCTGATGAACTGTTCATACACACATTGATTTTATCACTAGAGGTCGAAAAGTGGATGTATTCTGGGTGTTACTGGGTTACTGGGTGGGTTAATCTGATCCCATTTGTGTTGTGATCCGATCAAAAGCAATGAGCAGTCGTGCAATCCATCAATAACCCATTGCTTTTGATTTGATCACTACCCAAATGGTTTGCATTGCCGGTAGCAATAACATGCCATTCTTATTTGACACAGAATCTATTTTCTTGCTGCTAAAAATGAACATTTGGGAGGCAAAAGTATTTGTTTATAAATTGCAGTAGTGCATAATGCATCATATCATGAACAAGATGAACGATTATCCATGCATGAATCAAACTCACTCAGAATGCGACAGTTCCATCACAGTTTTCCATGCATCATTTTTCATGATATCACTTAATGTGGTGTGACTGCTCATTTGCATAAAGTTAAACTTATCAAAACTGTCTAACATCTAAAACACAGCATGTCAGCATATAGTGTACTACAAAGGATGTATTAAATATGTATATATTATGTATTACATATTATAAATATGTATTTAATAATACATTTAATACATGTTTGCTGATAAACGCATTCATTTCTAATTTAATGTAATAATTAAATCAATTTTCAAATGCCCAAAAAAAAAATTATATATATATATATTTAGAAATTAATTCATTTATCAGCAAATATTTATTTATTTAATTAATTATTAAATTAAACATTTGTAATGTTACAAAATATTCTGCTTAAAAATAAATAAATGCTGTTCTTTTCAACTTCACCTAAGAATCCTGAAAAAAAATGTTTCCACAAAATATTAAAGAGCAAAAACTATTTTAACATAAGAACCAATATTAATAACTGAGCACCAATAATAATTTAGAAGCAGCTTATTGGAATTATTTATGAAGGGTCATGTGATATTGAAGACTGGAGTAATGATGCTCAAAATTTATCTTTGCATCACAGAAATAACTTACTTTTTAAAATATATTCAAATAGAAAATAGTTATTCCAAATTATAATAGTATTTCATAATATTACTGTTTTTACTGTATTTTGATCAAATAAATGCAGCCTTGGTAAGCATTAGATTCATTAAAAACATTCAAAAACCATGTTTCCAAAAATTTGACAGGTATATGCAAATAATAAAATGCTTAAATCTACCATGCATAGTTTGGTTAGAAAAGTACAAAGAAATATATATATATATATTTATTCTAAGTTCTGACTCGTCACTTCCACTGTTAACATTCTAGTTAATGCAGTGGCATAAAATGTCACTCTACATTATATGTAGAAGAGCTAAATGGACTGTGTGATTACACGGCTGTGTTAATGCAGTGAAAGTATAACAATGAGAAGATTACAGATGTGCTGATGAAGATAGTCATGAGCTATTGTGTGGGTCGGGAGTGTGCAGCAACTCATTTCCATGAAAAAGATGCTCCTCTTTTTGTGTTTCCTCACTCCTGCACTGAGGTTCTGGCTATTTCTGTCCTCTGTGATTCCCATGGTAACCAGCGTGAAGCTGAGCATCGCTGAGATTTCAGCGTGACCTCGGCTCCTCGCTGTCAGTGTAGCGGTTGACTGCGGCAGCACCCTATTGTCTCAGAGACAGAGCAAAGCGCTTCACCCCATTTATGGCGCAGAGAAACCCAGGCAGTCAGCAGCTCTTTGTCGCGATCTCACGATGATGGCTGTATTTTGACTGTTGGACAATAGAGACAAGAGTGTCATGCCCACCCACTTCTGACGGCTGGCGTGTGGTCCTCTCCTGTTCGAGAAAAAGCACAGAGGCTTTCACAACATCTGTGAGAGGAGTACAAGAACTGTGACAGTTCATTCAGATAGACCTTCTGCTTTTTGTTCTTTCCTCCGCCCAAACGCTTTACAGGCGCTTTGTCTCACTCTAAAACCACACAATAGTCATATTTTCTGCCATTTTTCATAAACGGACAGAGGTTGATACTTCTAATACAAGTGATGGGTAAAGATAATTGGTGTCATACATGTATGTACAATATTGTTTAAAAGATTAGGGGCGAAAAGATTTTTAAATTTTTTTCTTGAAGGCTGCATTTATTTGAACAAAATACAGGAAAATAGTAATATTGTTTCTATTTAAAATAACACACACACACACACACACACACACACACACACATATATATATATATATATATATGTGTGTGTGTGTGTGTATATATATATATATATATATGTATGTAGGGCTGGACAATAATTCAATATCAATATGTATCGCGATATAATTTTTTTCTTTCACGGTGATATGATTTTTAAACACATTTTCGATATTTCGATATACATTACCAGTGTTTTCCCATACATTGAT